GGCCGGGAAGGCTGTAACTTCTGAGTACCTTGGCCAATGGGGAAAAGGAGAGGGCGTCCCTCGGTCGGGAAATTAGGATAAAAGCGGGGCTGCGTCCCCCAGCATTTTGAGAGACCCCACAGGGATATGCCCGGTGGACTCTCCCTTTATTCGAATAAAGTTTTAGGACTCCTCTGTCTCCTTTTTGGACATTCAGTTCTTGACAGCGAGATTTTCCGCACAAGAATCATTCCAGAAGGGTCTCAGTAGCTGCAAGCCCACAGAAATGGTTGCTGAGCTAAAGCAAGCAGAGAAATCCATCTAAACCCAGCTGGTCCTGCAAGCTCCGCTCCATCCATCCCAGCTGGCCGCCACGGATCAGCCCCACCAAGATGTTCACCAAGCTACAAGCGAGCAGCCTCCTCAGCCTTGTTTGGAGGCCTTCGTCCCCTTTGCAAGGGTCTCCCTTGAGAGCAAGGGCCTCAACCCCAAGAGCTGCAACTCCAAGGACAGGGCCGGGTGTGCTCAGGGCAAGACCCAGGCGACCCTCTCCAGGGCTGCTTTTATTGTCCTGATCTAATGAAGTGCGGGTTCACCTGGGCAGACCCACAAGTGGCTCCTCTGCGAGGCAATGAATACAAATACTTGACCTCGGGAGCTGGGGGGCAGCAATTAGTTTAAGCAGGGGGTTTGTGTAACACTTCAAAAGTCTTAATCCGTGCGGTCAGTCCCGGCACCGTATTTGCCAGGACCTATTGAGTAGTCTTAATGAGTCTGCAAAGCAAGCTTTCAATACATTTTGGGTCGCTTCAGATACTTTAAATGGCATAGTCTATATGGCATTGTGCGGCTTTAGAAAGGGCCGGGCTTTAAAAAAGTATGGCTCCCTTTCAGGAGGCAGACAGAAACCATCTTTAAACCCGGGACCCTTAACGTTTTGCATATCAATATGGCTCGGGCTGAATGTAGCCACTCAGCTGGGAAATAGGATCACTATCAGCGTTTCCAGGCTTTCACAGGCACTTGGGAAACTTTAAAGCCCTTGGCGGAGAATAATTTGGTCGAATGTCGTGGCTGGAAACAAAACCTAAACAAGCAGAGCGCAGTCCATCACGCGGAGCCGCCAAGGGGCTCCGGCGGCTCCGACATCCAACCCCCAGCGGGTCGGCGCACGGGGCACTTCCAGCCCCGCGGATCCGCGCTCCCGACGCCGGGATCGCTCAATGGCCTCCGGAGCTCCCGGCTCCGAGGGCTTCCCGGGGCAGCATGTGGCAATGCCCCCACATCACATCCCGCTCCGTGGTGGGAGCATCTTTGCATCGCCCGCAAGCACCACATGTGGGAAACACGTCCTGCCACTGGGGTGGCAACGGGTGCCACCATGGGGACATCGGAGGGGACAGCTCCTCCAGACAAATGGGAATCCAACCCCAGGAACAGTCAGCTCCCTCCCGGCACAGGGCACTGGAGAGGAATGCAGAGCCTATTTGCAAACAATGCCCCAGAAATGACATAATTAGCTCATTAAAGGGACAAATGCAAGTCACTAATAAGATATCAAAGGTTAATTAAATGTTTCCCCCCCCTCTTTAATTAAGGGTAAGGTAGACAATGCAGTTGAAACTAATTTCTGCAGACTCCCGTGATGGTCTGCAGGTCAGAGAAACAGCTGAGGTTATTGGGAAGGAGGGAATTGAGGATTTTCCTTGCTATGCAAACAAAATCCCTGGCAAATCCCAGGCGAGGGGTGATTCTTATCCCAAGGGCTGGGAATGCCTGACTCTACCAGCTAGGCTGCTCCAGGACGGGTTCCCTCTTCCCTACCCCAGCTCCCCTTGGATCTCAGGGTTTGCAGGCTCCCCGTTCCTGGGCCCCGGCTTCTCCGGGATGCCCTGCTCCTTTCCAAAGCTTTCCTTGCCCATGGCAAAGCCTTAGCTGCTACAGGGCCACCCACGCGCCCCCCATCCCAGCGACGAGCAAGGCCTATATGGAAGAATATTTAATCTGGATGTGGAGGAGGTAGGGGCAGAGGGGTCATCTGCGTTTTGTCTTTTATTCCTTAAATATTTCTCTCTACTCCGCAAGGGTCCATGTCTCGCCCCAAGAGGTCCCATATAAATTAGAAGGAAGGGAGGCGCCGGTGCGGCGGGCGCCTCAGTCCCAGCCGAAGTCCTGCCCCGTCATCTGGTAGAACTTGAGGTTGAAGGGCCGGTAGAAGTCCCGCAGGCGCCGCACGACCTGCGCGTCGATCTGCGGATGCGGCCGCCCCTTGGACTTCCCCAGGCAGCGGGGCCGGCTGCCGCCCTCCTCCTTCTTCAGGCACGGGAAGCCCTTGGTCTCGTTGAAATAGAAGTGCTGGCCCGTGACCGCCCGCCGGAGCCCCAGGAAGTCTTGGACCCGGCCCATCTCCCCAGCAGGGTCACTCACTAGTCTCTCCCCACTGACGAAGAGGAATTTGGACAGGGGGAAGTATTGCAGCCAGTTGTCCAGGTGCTTGGCGTAGATGCCGATCCGCACGGCGCTCCACGTTGTGTCCACCAAGCCCGTGCTGAGGTTCTTGAAGGCCAGCGCCTGGAAGCTGGGAATGGTGGGGTTTTTGGAGAGCGTCTGCGTGTAGTCCGAGATGGCCCTGGTCACGGGGTTCCTCACCACCACGATGAGCTTGGTGTCCCGTGACATGTTGTAAATCCGCCTGGGCGCCTCCTTGGTCACGAAGTAGCTGGGGGTCTTCTCCATGGTGATCTGCCCCTCCAGCGTCCGCGGCATCAGGCTCCTGCGGAGGGAAGAGCAGCGGTCAGCGCTGGGGGTGCTCTGGCAAGCCAACACACACCGCTGTTGCCCGAGTCACCCCCGCAGTCACAGCAAGTGGCCACCGACACTGGCAGCCCCAGGAGAGATCATAGAATCACAGAATGCTGAAGGTTGGAAGGGACCTCTAGAGATCATCTAGTCCAACCCCTGCACACACAGGGTCACCTAGAGCACGTGGCACAGGGCTGCGTCCAAGCGGGTTTTGAAGATCTCCAGAGAAGGAGACTCCACAACATCTCTGGGCAGCCTGTTCCAGCGCTCT